CCTGCAGAGACAAAGAAAGGACGTTATCACACGGGGCCCAATCCAAACGAAATCCAAACGAAATCCCGACCGAAACCGGATTATTTGCCCGTGTTTTCACACAACGTCGCACAGAACCCCGACAGAAAGTGGACAGAAAGTGGAAAGAACTGAGATCTTTTGAAATTCGGTTTGTTGAGGAATTGCAATTGCACGATGAGGATCATTTCGCATTTACCGTAAGTATGATAACTAAATACATATTGGGGAGCATTTCCCCGTCATTACCCATGGTTCCCGTGAGCATTACTCTATTTGCGCATGCGCAGGAGGCTCATTTCTGCTACATTTACAGTTTTTTTTCTCTTGTGTGTGGACGTTCAATGCAGTTACTGTAAATGCGCAATGAAGGTAATGACGTTTGCGGAAACAAGGTTTATTTCCCATTTATTTTCGGGATGCCTCATTTCCACTTTATTTTCAGTTTCTGGGCCACGTGTGATAACGTCCAAAGAATTAAAGACAGACCAAAGGAGGACAGGCCCAATAGTCTAGAGAAACAGCAAAGCATTCTACAGAACAGAGATGAAAACAACCTGAAAAGAGAGCTTGTGATACAGAGTGGGATTATTGTTGTTTTCAAAACAGACCAGAGGAGAAAAGGCAAATAGCAGGATTAGTACTGTTTTCAAAATAGCAATAAGGGACAGTCAAAATTCATGATATGCAAGGCTGACAATCAGGAAGTAGCTCATAGCAAGTTTGTGCGCTACCTAAATACCAAATGAAAGCATTGATTTCCGTTAACCTACCTGTGTGTTTCTCTGTAAATAACTACCCACATTCCTAAATTATATGATGCACACATTTCTGTCTTTATGAAAGGCTCAGTCCAAAAAATACCGGATTTTTGTTTTATTTTTCATTTAGGTTCATGTTCATGTCCTCTCTCTCTCTCTCTCTCTCTCTCTCTCTCTCTCTGTATATATATATATATATATATATAAGAACAATTGTTCAGGATCTCAATTAACACACACCCCTTGTAAGGGACACCAGACAACCCTAGGTGAGATAGAAATAGTTTAATTAATAAATAAACAAATAATAGAAAAGCCTTGAACACAAGACTAGGTCTGTATAAGAGGCCCAACGGGATATATCTTAATTACATGAGTGTTAATTCACATGTTAAATAAAGCACATTACAATATGACAAAAACTATAGTACTGAAGAAAAAAAATATTCTTTTAAAATGAGGGATGGGGAAATTGTGTTGTTTGCAAATTTTCCTGGACCACAAATCCCATCATCTATGCCCACTGGCCATATTAGCCAGGACTGATGGGAAATGGAGCTCAACATTTGAAGGGTCAAAGATTCCTCCCCATCTTGCAGAAAGCATCAGGTAAGGGGTCCCCCTGTATAATAGGAAATGGATAATACCACTTCTAGGGTAGTACTATGTACAGCAATGCTGTCATGAGGTCCAGGGCCTCAGTCTGTAGAATGGAGAGCCATTATATATAAGGGTGGCTTACTATGTTATAAAGTTTGGGGGGTTGCAGACTGCCAGAAATAGTGCAAATTGAGTCCACTTTTAGGGTTAGGGTTAGGGAATCATGGGAACTGTATTTAATTGTGGCACCAGAACTCTCTGACAGAGAAGGCTCAATGTCTCAGGGAAAAAAAAAATTCCCATGATTCCCTAGCACCTAAAAGTGGACCCAATTTGCACTATTTCTGGCAGTCAGCAATCCCCCTTTGTGAAGCTATGCACAAAACTATCTAAAGACAGAGTGGGTGAAGTGTGGCCTGCCAGATGTTGCTGGACTGCCTCTCTCAGTATTACTCATCACTTCCTATGCAGGCTAGGACTGATGGGAGTTGCAGTAAAACAAAATCTGGATAGCTGCATGTTACCCATCCCTGACCGAAAGAATCCCACCCACCCTCAATCCTGTAAGGCCACTAACTCCAGAGACTATAAATTAATCAATTCAGCCTTCCCAAGCCAGTGCCATCAAACTGTTTGGGACAACTTGTATGGCCAGTATCTGGGGTGATGATAGCCGGGTCTCCCTGGCACAATCCAAAGTGATGGTTATGGCCTATAAAGCCCTGTATAGCTTAGGCCCAGACTACTATCTGACAGACATCTCTCACCTTCCCTTGGTGGGGATACGAGACAGGGCCTTCTCAGGGGCTACCCCTCATTTCTTCCACTCCTTCCCTTTAGAAGCTAGACTGGCTCCCCCATTGCTCTCCATTTTCATGACCCATGAAGGCCTTTAAGGAAAGGGCTTTTCAGGTAGTGCTATATTATTTTAAAATTGTCCTGTTTTTAACTGCTTTTTTAAACTCTACTTAGGTATATGCTTTAAATCAGGAGCAAGCAACCTTTCCCCTTTAAGGGCCGAGGGACTTCAGCTCCCAGAAGCCTCAGCCATGTTGGCCAATAGTCCCATGTTGGCCAATAGCTCCTGGGATTCTGGGAGCTGAAGTCCCTCGGCCCTTAAAGGGGAAAAGTTGCCTACCCCTGCTTTATTGTTTTGATATTGGCTGCATCCACACTGCAGAAATAATCCGGTCTGGCGCCACTGTAACAGCCATGGCTCAATGCTATGGAATTCTGGGAACTGTAGTTTTGTTGTGGCACCACAGCAAAGTGACAACAAACCATAATTCCCAGACTTCCATAGCACTGAGCCATGGCAGTTACAGTGGTGCGAGACCGGATTATTTCTGCAGTGTGGATGCAGCCATTGTTAACAGTCTTCTGTTTTAATGTTAACTTTTTGTATGTTTTTAACTACAGTGGGCCCTTGGTATTTGCTGTGGTTTGGATCCCTGCGGATACCAAAATCCAGGGATGCTCAAGTCCCATTATATTCAATGATGTAGTAAAATGGTGTCCCTTACATAAAATGGTAAAATCAAGGTTTGTTTTTTGGAATTTATATATTTTAAAAATATTTTCCAGCTGTGGGTGCTTTCATCCATGGATACAGAATCTGTGGAAATGGAGGTCTGACTGTATCTTGTAATTATTTTAATTATTACGGTTCCATTTGTGGTGGAAAAGGCAGGTTATAAGTAAAGCACACCAACAATAACAGACGGCGGCCTTTGCAGACTGCCAGAAATAATGCAGATTGAGGTCACTTTAACTGTCCTGCCTCAGTGCTAAGGAATCATGGGAACTGTATTTTTTTCTGGGACATTGAGCCTTCTCTGTCAGAGAGCTCTGGTGCCACAATAAACTACAGTTCCCATGATTCTTTAGCACTGAGCCAGGACAGTTAAGTGACCTCAATCTGCATTATTTCTGGCAGTCTGCAAAGGCCCTTATAAGATATCTGGAGAGTACCAGATAAAGAGAGCCAGTGTGGCATAATAGTTTGAGCACTGGATTATGAACCTGGAGATCAGGATTTACCGTTAATTCCCTATTCAGCCAAGGAAACCTACTGGGTGACCTTAGGCAAGGCACACTCTCTCAGCCCCTCAAAAACTCTGTGATAGGTTCACCTTAAGATCACCATACGTCAGAAAAGACTTGAGGAACACAACAACAACAACCAGATCAGGAAAGTCTGCTCTAACTGTATTCCTGACCAACCACCTATTTCCTGCAAATATTTGCACTATAAATAATTACCTGTTTTATTCTAAAACAAAAGTGAAATAATCAAGGTATTCCTAGATATAGGAAATTGGATGTTTTCTAGCCAACTAACCAGCCCAATGCTGCAGGCTATGCTTTGCAGAGATGATGGCAGCCAGGCTTCAAAATATGGGGTGGGGTGGATAAACCATCTCCGAAAAAATATATCCAGGGGTAGCTGTGTTGGCCATACAGCAAGGTACAATAACATCCCAAATCCACAAAACAGGGATACCTTTATGGAGCCGACCAAAATCCACAAAATACATGTCGCAAGTTTTCAAAGCTCCACTGGCTTCTTCATCAGGCAAAGGTGTTTAAAATCAAGTTGTTTCCAATTTATAGTGACCCTAAGGCAAACCTATCACAGGGTTTTCTAGGCAAGTTTCTGCAGAGGGGGTTGCCCTTGCCATCCATCCCCTGACGCTGAGAAAGTGTGACTTGCCCAGGGTCACCCAGTAGGTTTCATGGCCCAGCAGGGATTCGAACCCTGGTCTCTGTAGTCGCAGTCCAACACTCAAGCCACTACGCCACACTGATTCTAATGTTAAAAATCACGCAAAAGGGGGAGAATGACAATGGGCTTTTGCAGACTACTAGAAATAGTGCAAATTGAGTCCACTTTTAGGGTTAGGGTTAATGCTAGGGAATCATGGGAATTGTTTTTTTTTTCTGAGACATTGAGCCTTCTCTGTCAGAGAGCTCTGGTGCCACAATAAAATACAGTTCCCATGGTTCCCTAACCCTAACCCTAAAAGTGGACTCAATTTGCACTATTTCTGGCAGTCTGCAAAGGCCCAATGTTAGTCATAGGCCTGCATTTTGTCAAAAGGATATGGAGGGATATCTATGTAGGCAGGCTACTCCTTCTGGCACGCATTTTGTGCATTTTGGTACAACGTGTGTTTTGTGCACTTTGGCTGTCGCCGTAAAGGTATCCCTGTTTTGTGGATTTTGGATGATATTGTAACATCTGAACAGGCGGGGATTTCAGAAGGCCGACGCTCGGGCCATTTGTGGAAGGAGAAATGAAACGTCAAGTGTCTATTTTGGGCTCTTGCCGTTAACTGCGTGTGCTGAGAAAACAGGAAACCCAACCACAGCTGCTCTGAGGCTGTGCAGGACTTTGCCAGGAACTGTCAAGCTTAGAATCATAGAGCTGGAAGAGACCCCAAGGGCCATCCAGTCCAACCCCCTTCTGCCATGCAGGAACTCAAAATCAAAGCACCCCTCATCCAATTTCATCCAATCACAGGGTTTTCTAGGCAAGTTTCTGCAGAGGGGTTTGCCCTTGCCATCCATCCCCTGAGGCTGAGAAAGTGTGACTTGTCCAGGGTCACCCAGTAGGTTTCATGACCCAGCAGGGATTTGAACCCTGGTCTCCGTAGTCGCAGTCCAACACTCAAGCCACTATGGCACACTGATTCTAATGTTAAAAATCATAGAGCTGGAAGAGACCCCAAGGGCCATCCAGTCCAACCTCCCCTGCCATGCAGGAACTCAAAATCAAATCACCCCTGACAGATGGCCATCCAGCTTCTGTTTAAAGACCTCCAAAGAAAGAGACTCCAATACACTCCAAGGCAGCTTATTCCACTGTCAAACAGCTCTGACTGTCAGGAAGTTCCTCCTAATGTTGAGGTGGAATCTCTTTTCCCATAACTTGCATCCATTGCTCTGGGTCCTATTCTCTGGAGCAGCAGAAAACAAGCTGGCTCCATCCTAAATATGGCATCCCTTCCAATATTTAAACAGTGCTAAAGCTTGTGCTACACAATGGACGTTATCCCACGGGGCCAAAAGCAGCAAGAATCCACAAAG